TACATGGCGAATCCTGGAAAGGCTCACTGGCAAGCGTTAAAGTGGATTCTAAGGTACATAAATGGGTCTCTGAACAGAGTCTTAATTTATGGTGGAGCCTTGGGTGAAGATAGTAAAGCAGCTGTCGAAGGCTATGTTGACTCTGATTATGCAGGCTGTATGGATTCCAGAAAATCTATTTCTGGATATGTTTTCACTATGTTTGGTACAGCAATTAGTTGGAAAGCAACTCTTCAGAAGGTTGTTGCCTTATCAACTACTGAAGCAGAATATATTGCCCTAACTGAAGCTGTGAAAGAAGCATTGTGGCTTGAAGGTTTTGCAAAGGAGCTGAAACTTCAAGGTCAAGGTATCACTGTTAAATGTGATAGTCAAAGTGCAATACACCTGTCGAAGAACTCAGCCTATCATGAGCGAACCAAGCACATAGATGTGAGGCTGCATTTCGTCAGAGGGGTAATCGAGCGTGGAGAAGTCCAAGTGCTGAAGGTCTCGACAGATCACAATGCCGCTGATATGATCACCAAAACATTGCCAAGTTGCAAGTTTTTCCACTGTATGCAGTTGATAAAGCTGCATGAAGAAAGCTAGTTAGTGTCTCTTGATGCTGTAGAGTTAGGTCCAAGGTGGAGATTTGTGGGATTTTGGATCAAACTTTAGTATGATCGAAGTACATGCTGTAGTCGAAGAAGGGTCTAGCATGTATTTGTCGAAAATGCTTGTTAAATTAGGTTTTAGTGTTTAAACCCTAATTTGTTAAGTTAGCTTGTTTATTAAGTTAGCTTATATAATGGGCCTTGTGGAAAAAGCCCATTAGTTAGTATGTTAGGTTTTATTATAAATAGCATACTAGTCTCTCATCATTGCAAAACACAGCAAATCCTAATTTAGGGTGAGAGGGTTATTTGTTATTCTTGTAAACTTGTAATCTTGTTTTCTAAGAGAAAGTAAAGAATAGCAGTTATAACCAATTCTTGTGTTCTTCTTCTTTCTTGTTCGTTATTCCTCCCTTATTCTATACTTTGTTATTGGCATTGAATTCACAACAAAGACATATAGAACAAAAACATATATAAATAGATATCGGTAAATAGTACAAAAAGTGTTTGTAGTCAATATAGGGGGTAACCCAAAATATTATCCAAATACAATTAAAAAACAATAACCAAAATACATATACAAAAGAAAAGACTACTGGATATGGCAGACTTTGACTCGGCCCCTCTCTCTCTCGGCGTTCCTCCGCTTTCTCTTGTACTGCAGAGCCCCCTGAGCCTCCGCCATGATGGAATCTAAAACACCTCTAACATCAAAGCCATAGGAAACAAACCACCATCAATACCCGTTTGCGCAATCTCCATGGTACGATGACACCTAGGCAACACACCAGTGGCATGATTGGCATGTGCATGCTCCTCCTCTAGTATCTCCTGATGAGCTGGTCTCAGAGAGTTTCATGGAGCATCTTGTACCAAGTATGGATGGGACACCTTGAAGAACCATATGATATAATCGTCCACGTAGCTTCAATCGACTGGAGCAATGGTACTCCGAGCCTCATCCAAAACAAGTTGATTCTCATAATCATCAAACAAAACATCCATATATATGTGTTTCTCCAGGGGAGGAGCAGATACAACAGGATCCCGGGGAATGGTCTTGGTGTAGCCGAACTTACGCATGACGCGCTCAGGAATATAAGTCGTCGTCTTGTGCGACCCGCAAGCCAACCATCCCGTAAACAACGCAACATCATCAAATGGTATTATGACACAGTGGTTATGATATGAATGGAAGTGTGTGTCCTCAAATACCAGTCGGTCAATATACACCTGGAACGACTCTGTCACCTGGTTTCCTCGGAGGGGGTCGCATGCAGTGGCACGCTGCTTAGCTTCAGTATAATCAGTAGCTAGTGACCAACCAAGATGCGGGGGAAGTGCGTTAGGATCCAGCCCTGAAATAACAATAATTATTAATTAGTAACAAAATCACAATAATTAACAAAACGCCACATAGACCAAGAAATTTTACTGTCAGAAGTGTGATGCTGCCGGTCATTTGCTTCATCTTCCACTTACTTCCGTCAGACACCTTCGTATACAAGTACACCTAACAAACAACCCCTCAGTTGGCCAGTTCCACTGGTGGATCTACTCAAAATCATCAAAATACCCCAGGTACATCACATCTGTATAAGTTGCACTAGTGTCTATAAAAATTTGTGTGCCAATCAGAAATAAAAGGTATACTCTCATAGCCCATCTCCGGTGTAAGGTAACCTGCTCGGGATCACCATCAGCCAGTCGCGCACGCCTTATCTCATTCGTGAATACCATCTTCAAATAACTATATCTGACATGGGCACCACGGGTAAAGTCCAACTCAGCCAACGCACTCTCAGGGGTCACTCCCAATTTCTCTACCAACATATCCAATGCCTCCTCTTTGTCAATCCTTTCATGGTCTAAGAATGTCCCTCTAATCGGGAGATGCAACGGAGATGCGATATTGTCCAGTGTGATCGTCATCTCACCATTTGGTAGTTGGAATGATGACGTATCATGATGCCACCTCTCAACAAAAGCGTTAATTATACCATGATTAACGATGCTATAACCACACTCGGTCAAATCTTTCAACCATGTAAGCATCAACAACTCACCAAACTATGTCTCAACGGGGGGTATTAGTTTACTGATCTCCCGCCCATAATTAATGACCTTCAGCGGATCATGTTCCTGCATTCATGATTGACAAAATTCATTCAACAAAAATCCATGATAAAAATGTAATAGAAGAGACAAAAATCCATAATACAAGTCAAAATTCATACCTCTTCGTCCCATGTATATATCTAGCAACATGGTCCGGGTACAGAGACAGCTGAGATAAATCAGACGGTCCTCCTCCAAAACTCCGAGGTGCCGCCTGAGATGCCTGAGATGTCTGGGATACCTGCTCAGGTGCCGTCTTAGGTGCCTGGGATTTTTGGGGTGCTTGCTCAGGTGTTGTCTCAGGTGCCTGAGATGCTTGAGACGCCTCAGGTGCCTGAGATGCCTGTGACGCCTCAAGTTCCTGAAATGAAGGTTGTGGATGGGTCTGAGGTGTCGGTTGTGTGACCTCTGGTGTCGGTAGGGAACCAGATGCCTCTTCCACCTCAAATATCATCGGTGAGGAAATGCATCTACGATAGGACGGAGGCGGGGAGGGATGAACTAGAGAATTCAGTCTGTTGTGGGAGGACGATGAAGCCAGAGTAGAAACAGGAACACCGGAGGCAGAGGGTGTAGTACGTGCATCCGGCACAGCCTGTCCAGAGGCAGGAGGAGCCTGGGATGCCTGACTCATTTCTCTCTGTATAGAAGCGTATTGTACAAGTCTGTTGTGTCTCAATCTAGATGGTCTATCAGCCATTACTCATGTAGAAACACGGAAAATACGTTAACATAAGAACCACTGTTCAAAATGATGGGAAAAAAGACAGGCTAAAACCAGAAATGTATTTCCGATTTTGTTCAAAATGAAAACCGGAAATATATTTCTGGTTCGACCTGCAATTTCAAGCTTCGTCAATGGCGAAACAGAAGGACATACAACCTCAAACAAAATGTCATTGATCATCAAATAGAGTCTTCCGACAGTTAACTAATGATGTCTAATATTGAAAACAAACAACAAATTCTGAATTTCTAATGTAAAACAGTCATTTGAGTAGAAAATACATAAACCTTAAAAAACTATAAAATAAAAAATAAAATAAACAACTTACAATTGTTGATTTTTCTTGATTGAATGTGGTTGGACACTTGAGTTAAGTAATATTTGACAATTTATGACAAGTTTTTTTCGAATTTGGTTTGATATTGAAACAATGATGTTTGAGAGAAATGGGGTATTTGAGTGTGTTTTGTTTTTGTTGTTTTGAAAAACAATTATGTAATGAGGGAGGGGAAGAGTTCTAGCGCGTTTAAGTCGCAACCAAAATCGGAAATATATTTTCGATTTATACCGTAGATACATTTCCGGTTTATATTTTGTCTTGAAGCTTGGTTTCGTAGGCCATAATTGTGGTTGGGGTGCAACCGAAAATATATTTCCGATTTGCACCAAATTTTTATGACTAATTTAGTGTATATCAAAAATATATTTTCGATTTTTAGAGACATTTAAGAAATTTCGCAAAATACATTAGAAAACCATAAGATAGAAAAAGAAATTCTCTTATTATTCTGTGAATAAATTTACATGATGTCATCGCAGATACTCTTAGCGCATTATTACTTTGCTATCTGACTTTTGTTTTTTCTTTATGTATTTTACTATCCTCGCCTACTCGGGCACCTATAATTTAACAATGTAACTATCAGTTCTGTCAGCAACCAAAAAAAAAAACAGTATTAAGTAATAGGCAAGTGTTGCATTTAAAATAGTGCTACAAGTCTTTACAGCCCCCTTAGACTCATTTGATGTTTTTATTTTATTTCTTGACAATTTATTTAAGGTGTTTTATCTCTCCTTTTTTGTTTGCACCAACAAGGTTTAAATTCTTTTGGATATGCAACAAATATATTCAACTGTAACTGCAAAAACTAATTCTTCAAACAATGTAAGATAATGATAAACTAATCGTTTTAGTTTATGCACGCATCAAGACTGTAATTTACATTCTAACATTCACCAAATGCAGTACTGTGATGAACTGATTATAGAAACCGATATCACATGCACAATACTAAAATGCTACTCGAGCATAAACCTCATCGATAGAAATCTTTTCATTCAACAACAGACAATCTAAAATAAATTTCAGAGATACAACTGACATTTAAAAATGAGGGCCAGTCGCATCCTTTAAATAGTTCCTCTTCATTTACCATAAAAAGGTTGGATTACCACTACTACAAGTAACACTTAACAAATCTAATGTGACAACATTTTGATTTGTTAGTAAACAGCATTTTTAACAAGCATTCGGCAACCGCGGATGCTATGTGATATTATGTGCAAAATCGTTTGTCGCTGCTGTTCTCAACATCTTCCTGGACGTGATAAGAAGAAAGGAAAAATGCTCTCTGATTTTTTCGCAAGAACCTGCACCGTAATAGCTAACATTAGCCCTTCCCAAACTACATAACATTGTAAATTCATTAAATTTCAGCCGCTAGTAAAACTACTTTTCCCAATTAAATTCATAGCCTATGACTTTAAATATAAAATTTGAAGGGAAATATTGATACCTGAGAAAGTCAAGTACTTGTGCCTGGAGTTCTACCAATGTATCGCCTTCAATGTTAGCATGGAACAATAACTCTGGCAATTTAACTTTCAAATACATAAAAAGTGCATCATCAGTAAATAGAGTCACGAGTATAAGAAGTCCTAATAATAAAGCTTAACGGAATGCAAAGTTTAAAATGCAGAGTTGCAGACTTAACAAAACTATGAACTCATAGCAATAAACCCATATGTGAAGCTGATCCCAAATGGCCGGCGTTTTGCAGAACAACTCTACCACTATTCGTATTTCCATAACAACAGAGTGCAAGGGCAACAATTAAGTCGAAAGTCGTGACATGCCAAAATACAGAGATCTTAAAACCCTTATGTTTACTTTCACTAGCAAAACAATAAATGAATAACCCTAAATGATATAATCATCTTGTTTGAGAAGGGCTAATGAGCATACCGAAGAGACGTAACAAATGCTCAGCACCGTATATAGCAGAAGGAACAATATCATTTGCACAAGCTTCTCGGTACTGCTGACGCTCATTATTGTACAAGAGCATCACTGGCAGTGCTTTGTCAAAGTAACAACTCAGTCCTTTCATAATTTCTTCAACCGAATCAGCTATCCTATATCAAATATAGAATTAAACTGTAAAAATAAGCATCACAAGTGGAAATATAAAAGATGTATCAAAAAAATATCGGCAGAGGTAGTGATTTCAAGATACTAACTCAGTGTAATGTAAGTGAAAAAACCAGTAAAGGACAGAAAGACAAAAACAGATTTCAGGCACAGGCTAATCATATAGGAGCTTTCTTGGTTATGGTATCAACTGGAGAGAAAACGCCTAATTTATAGACCAAATAAAAATACTGTTCTTTAACAAAAAGAATATATAATTTGTGAGAAGATTGAGGCAGAGATTTATTCTTAATGATAATAAACACGTGAACACAATTAATTTTAAAACAGTTTGCTGTCTTAACCCACTTTGCTGTTTAAACTAATACATATCAGCATTTATGCGGAGTTTCCCTATTAATCCAAAATGATATATAAAATAGTTCATTATACACTTATTTCTCACAAGACAGAGGTGTTTCAGCACAAAGCTTAAATATGGAGGAGGGTGCCTCAGCATGAACTTACGGTCCACTTTTCTTCGATCTGTAATCAAAATAAGTCTTGAATATATCGTTCACATTAGGAGTACGTGGAAGTTTAACAAGCTGCAGAGAAAAAACATAAATCAACAATTTTGAAATGACAACAAGCTCCTCTTTCTTTGAAGTAAAAGGTGATCCGTACTAAGCTATATAAAATTGGCCGTAAATAAAATGAGGCACGGACTGATTTCTATAGATAATGTTAATACTAATATATCAACCACAATATTTCTACCTTGCCGAGATGCGTAATAAACTCAAAATCATCAACTAATTGCTTCCTTAGTGTTGGTGGAATCTGAAAGTTGACAAGTTTATCAGGAAGAACCGCAGTTTTTTCCTGACATTAAGCAAACAATAAAACCAATTATATTATACCATGGAGTAAAAAAAATTGTAAGCAACCATTCCCTCGCCGCATACCATACCAGAGATAAAACATGACTAATAAAAAGTTTGAAATATTTCATTAGAACTTTCCAAATAATTTAACATAGTTTATACTGATACAAATAAATTACATAAACTTCAATGATGCATTAGTGCATATCATGTTTGATTATTTCCCTGTACAAAATAAAATTTAAAAAAGAGAAAATACCTTAACCAGAGAATCATTCTTTCGTTTCCTGCCTCTCGCTCCTGCAATACATTTTTCCCAGAATGTCTTAGAGTTGGTTTAAACATATTTTAATGAAGTAATAGACCATAAAGTCCTCTTATTTATTTTACAACATAAGCTACAAGAAAAACTAAATTAAAATGCCTAAGTGGGTTTGGATCAGAAACATAGTATGTCTCAGGATTATGTTGGTGTCCCCTCTGACTCTAGATATGGACTATCATCCATCTAGTCAAACCTAGGTGCTTCTCCAAGCCTTCTCATTGCATGCTCGAAGCACCTAAGACAAGAGTCTGTCATTTTTTCTACCATGAAGATTACCCAAACTTTCTCTATAATGATTACATTCCTAATGCTGTCTTGACTTGTGTAACCACCCATCGTAACATCCTTATCAATGCACGAATGAGTTTACTTTCTTGTTAGACTTTTACCGACCAACACTCACTCTCATTCAACATTACAACTATTTCAACCGTGAAGAAGAATTTTCTTTTGAAGTTTAAATGGCCCCTTTCTACTAAAATCAGTGTTGTCGATGGTGGAGAGCCGAAATCCTGCCATATTGGCCGCTTTATAGAGCCGTTATAGCGGAAAACGCCATGTATATCCGTCATAGCGCCGCTATTTGATAACACTGATTAAAATCCAAATTATTCTTCAATTCCGTCCACTATACTTGGATTCTACGGTAGACATCTGCCTCCATATCCTAATCATTTTGAATGATAGACCCAAAGGAAATGAAATTAAAATAATTGTTTTTGCTCAAGTCTTTTGGAAGAATGCCATAAAAAGTTTAATAGGAGGTCAAGCACATAAGAACGTTTTTGTTTGAGAAAAAGAACAAGTTATTATCCTAAAATCAGAGAAGATGTAATAAGTCCCTTCCCCTTAAAATAACAACAACTAAAACTATCAAGAACCAATTAATCCTCCTGATGATAAATTTATTTTTTGAATCATGCCTTCTTGCTGGAATTGAACCAAGTAAGGTCATGTCAAAAACACATGATTAATGGCAACCAACCAACCTATTCGGGAAACCGGCCCTCGTGATGTTAAATTACAAGGGCTTCCATCCGTCAACAGCGAAAACTGTTTCTTACTGTGCATGTGAATTGTATTTTCAATTAGCATGCTCTACTACTTGAATATGTGATCAACAATTCAATATGGCCAGATCCCTCTACTCTTAACAGATAGAAAGCACGTCGAGTCTTCTGCATCTCATACTGCACGCGAAGAAAACTATAACGAACTTTCTCGTTAGACTCCTACAAAGCTAATCAAACAAGATCAACTTCCATAGACTGTGGTCAAGACTCAAGAACGATATGTACTCAATGAATTCCAAGGCTCGCTACTAACCTGATTTCTGAATAGTCAGTCACCTATCTATACTAGGCTACAAAAAAAACAACAAAATCGAGAAGATGCTGTGTCTCAATTCTCAACCATAGCATCCGAGGGGAGTGAAAATTGTTTATAATTTCTCCCGGTAATCAAAAAGGTAATTGAAAATGCAGAAAATAAATATCTGACCATTAGAACCCTTGGATGACGCACGAGGCTTTCTCGCATTCTTTTCATTGCCATATTCCGCATCAATTGTAAGTTTTTTCCGCATATTTTCCTCAGTATGTTTCAACAAACGGTCAATACCAACCCATTCATCCCAACTGCAGGGAAAAAAAAAAACACAAAACTAACAAAATCAAACCCACACTTCTTAACACAATCATCATCATCATCATCATCATCATCATCACAAGCAAGCTTACCTTTTCTTCCAACCCTGAAAGAATAAAAACCAAACCCTTAAATAAATATCATTGCAAAATCACATGAAATAACAAAGAGGATAGAAATGGTTACAAGATAATGAAGAAAGAATCTCCATTGTTTACGCTTGTACTCAATTTGCTTAACCTACATAATCAAAAGCATTGAATTAGGTTTAAATGAAAACGGAAAAGGAAAGAGAGACAGGAATGGAAGAAAACCTTGGCTTCATAAAGACATGCAGTGTGGAAAGCAAGGACTTTCTCTCCTTCAGCGTATGGAGAAGCGGAAATGTGATTCTCGATTTCGGTTTGAGAGCTACTGCTATCGGAAACATCACTGCTTGTTTTCGAACTTCCCATTTTTATTTCTAGTTATTTTTCTTCTTCCAAACAACACTCTATTACTCTAATACTGATTTCTCAGACCCAACCCCAATCACTAAACAACACTCTATTGCTTACTTGCTGAACAACACTTACAAGGGACTGATTTTTGTTTTTCACCACTAAGATAACATTCCTTCTTTAACAATATTAATCACTTACTTACTCATTAATTAATACAGACTAGGAAAACAATGTAAACGGGGAAAAAGTTATAAATTTTAGTGAAAATTAATTAAATTCATTTCTTTTACAAAAGTAATAAGTTGTTTTGGAAAAGAGAGACAGAAATACTAAATTGGATGGATTATAGTAATTTTTTTATTTTCTTCTAAAAACTTAATTTTATATATTTTATGATAATTTAAAATTATATCCCTTTAAAATTATATGAGTTTAATGGCACTACACCCTGTGTAAGGATTAAAAGTAGTTTTAAATGAATAGAATTGATTCGGGAGGATTTTGAGATATTTGGTTAGGTAAAATGTAATTGATTTTGTTTTTAGAATTGATTTTACTTGAAATTAGAATGTGTAGTTTCTGCCTACAGAATTGATTCTGAGTTATTTTTACACTGTAATTTATTGTTCAACTCACTTTTATAAAAATATATCCAAACATAAATCAATTCTAATAAACTCAATTCTGATAAAATTAATTCTACCAAACACAATTATGTTAGAATCAATTGTGCCAACTGCTAATCCGAACACACCCTAAAAATAAATATTATACATTTATTCAATCAGAATATTGTAAAGTGATAAATCATACAAATAATTTAAAATTTATCGTCTAACTTGGCGGGATACATGATTATCATTAATTGACAGTCTAAAAATAATTTACATTGTAAATGCATCATCTATTTTCTCAAATTATATATATATATATATATATATATATATATATATATATATATATATATATATATATATATATATATATATATATATATATATATATATATATATATATATATATATATGTGTGTGTGTTTTTTTTTATTAATCATATTATAATCATATAATCGAGCATCTAACTAGCTTGTAAGTGTTGGAACAAAATCAATTTGAATTTAATCAATTTTTATTCAATTGATTGCCACAACTTCCACACCACTCTTCACAAGTGATACACACAAAGTTTGATGATTCAATTTGTTCCTCACAATTTAGAATTGAAAAGGAAAAGATAAAGATCGGAAGAAAGGGAGAGATGGAGAAGAAGAGAGTTTATTATGGGATATATATTCAATTACAATGAAAGGTGTGTTTACATACATATTAGACACTCAAATCAAATTTTAAAAACAAATTGTCTAAAACAATCTGATATACACACCCGCGGTATATCCTTACAAGCAAGCAATTTTATAACAAACTTTCAAAATAGAATTTTGTTGCATAACCGGATTTTAACCATTAACCAAGTTATTACATGTTTTCTAAGTAACATTAAGTTGACACTATGAATTACACTTTCAACACATCATCTAATTCATCATGTTTCTCAACCTTTTGAATAAATTAACTTGCACAGCTTCGGTCTTGATGTTAGCTATTTTATTTTCACTTCTACAATATTCCAAATATAGCTTTCCATTTGTTACTTGTTCTCTAAGATAGTGGAATCTCATTTCAATGTTTGTTCTCTTTCCATGTGCTATCGGGTTCTTGACCAAATTAATAGTAGACATGTTGTCAGTTATAATAGTCATTTCTCCATGATTCTTGCCTTCAATCTCATCAATAAGATTCGTCATCCATGATGCTTGACATGCATAGCGAGAAGCACTTATATATTCTACTTCACATGATGATTATGCTACAACTGATTTTTTTTTCTTGAGATCCAAGCAACTGATGCACCACCTAACATGAACACATAATCAGCTATGGATTTTTTATCCTCAATATAACTACACCAACTTGAGTCAATGTATCCCTCAAGTTTGCATTTCTTTCCTTCATCTATTGCAAGAAACAAAATCCCATAATCTAGTGTTCCTTTAAGATATCTTAGTATCCCCGTGATGGCTACAAGATGTGACAGCTTTGGCTTCTGCATAAAGCTACTCACCATGCCTACAATGTAAGCTAGATCAGGTCATATGTGACTGAGATGCCTCGATGATCTAATAAGTCTTCTATAATGTGTTGGATCAACATCACCTACATTTAAATCGTGTGTCAATTGTAGCCTTGGTCCAGCTGGTATTGATGCAAAATTGCAATCTTCCATCTCAAATCTCTTGAGTATCTCCCTAGCATGTTTTATTTGGTGCATCATCAGACCTCTACCACACTTGTAAAATTCAATTAAAATGAAGCATGAGACGTTTCCAAGATCATACATCTCAAAATCCTTGCTCAAGTCAATTTTGAAATCTTCATTCTCCTTCTTGCAACTACCTTTTATTAGCATATCATTTACATTGAGACAAAGTATTAACAACTCATCTTTGTTTCTTCTAACATACACACCATACTCAGTTGTACATTTTACAAATTCCTTTTCTTTTAGAAAACCATATATCCTCTTATTTCAAGTTCTTGGAGCTTGTTTCAACCCGTATAATATTTTATGCCATTTGTACACCTTGCTTTCTTGGTCTTCCTTCTCAAAACCAACTGGTTGAAACACATAAACGTCTTCATCTCAAAGGCCATTCAGAAATTCACATTTCACGTCCATTTAATACATTGACCAATTGTTCATGTTTTCCCAACCAACAACCAACTTTGTTGTTTCAATCTGGTAACTGGTGCAAACACTTCATCAAAGTCGATTCCTTCTCTTTAAAGAAATTCTTTGACCATAATTCTTGCTTCGTGCCTGGTCACTTCCCTTGGGATTTAATTTTAGCTTGTATACTCATTCACATCAATTAATTTCTTTCCTTGTGGCAATTCAACTAGTGACCAAGTTTTGTTGACTTTTATGGACTTCAACTCCTACATCATATCATTCATCCAATTTGAATCCTTCAGTGCTTCAACTACATTGATAGGCTCAGTGTTTGCATAGAAAGCATAATGTACCAGCTCACCTTCATCATTAACCGTGTAACATACCCTAAACCCCGCACAATAAAATAGTATAATCAGAGTAAAGTTATCATGCATATTAAAAGAGAGCGTCACATATACTTCAAAATCAATAAAAATACACTGGTCATGCTCATAACACGCATTTAAAATCATGTTCCATATACTAACACATATGCATATCACAGCGGAATAATTCTCTTTTCAAAAACGATACTAATATTTGAATCTCATAATAGAAATAATGTATTAAAATATTGGACACTAAAGGCCACTTATCACATAATCTCAATTACAATATAAAATAAAAGAGAATATATCAAACATCTCTTAAAACAACATGAGTTCAAACATTTCCCCATATTACATAACCAGGGCATGACTCACTACATAAATATAGATAAACAAATAACTAGCTCCTCCAACTAATCCTTGCAAGAAGCACCACTACCTTTAGTACCTGAGTGGTATCGTATAAAACATCATTCCAACAGAAGGGTGAGAATTCACATCATTATAGAAATATATAATAATAAGTAATGCATAACATACATACATTAATTGAATTCATCACACTCCACATATTCAGGTATTCAACATTATCCAATCCAATTCACATGTTTACATATATAACATTGCTCAATAATCCATAATTCAAATGATACTCAATCACAAATACCACGTGTGATACGGTGGGAGAACTGACTTGGGTGTTTTGCGTTTTATAGTAAATGTTGCGGTTAGCAAGAGTCGCCACCGACTTTTCTTTTATCCAAAAGGAAAGGCTAAAAAGAACAGGAAAGACCTTTGAGATTATTTCTTGAGTTCGGGGGGTAGATTATGAAAAGGGAAGGTGTTAGCACCATTTTCATCCATAGTTATCTATGGGCTCTTAGTTGCTTGCTAGATCACTTATTTTTGTTTAGAAATGTGCTTTGTGTGGTTTTAAAAGCATTTTGAAAAGGCGTCGTCGTTTAGTAAAACTTTGTAATAGTTCTCGTTCGTAAAAACGTATACAAAGTGTTGATCTTTTGAAAATGTTTCAAATTTGGAAAATGTTTGGAAAATGTTTGGAAAGTGTTTTTTGAAAGTGTTGGTGTTTGTTTTGAAAATAAGCAAGAGTATTTGATTTGAAATTGAGAAAGCAACTAGGAACAATCTACCTACTCAAAATTCTTAGTTCATTTCTTCCTTTCCTTTGATATTGCTATCCTACCATTGATTTGGCAAGAAGCCTTATCTTTGGATGTAAAGGGATGGGCGTGGGTCATCGTACAGTCACGATAGCAATATTGTGAGATATCTTAGCAATTCTCTTTAAATGACTAAGATCATTTTTGAAAGGAAACTTTGATAGCGTCATCGAGGGACTATAATCTTGTATTTTTTATTGCTTTTTGCTAAGATACCTCATATGCATAACATGGCCATTTTTGTAAGGCAACAAAGTGGAATTACCCTAAGGGTGCAAGTGTGCAAATGTGTTGATTCACATGCATTGTTTTGTCTTGAATTAGGGTTTGCTAATTGTTGATTTTATCTTTCCATACAAACCCTAATTTACTAGCATTTATATAAAATGATAAATTGCGGAAAGTAAAAATACTAAGCTATTACATCATTAGGGGATGGGGGTATACAAGTTTTAAAATGAGGATTTTGCAAGAAAATTAAACCTAATTAACTATTACAACCATATTCAATATTGTACAAAAATTTGAAAATAAAATGCAAGAATATGAATGGAAAAAGAAATGATTTTTGTTTGGTTTTTATGAAAGGGTTATAACCTAATTAAGAGAAATGACTAGTTAAAAATAAACAAGATTAAATTTAAATTAATTAAGAAAAGAATTAAGTAAAAATGATTTTTAAGTTTTTTTATGAAAAAGATTTTAAATTAATAAAAATAAAATGAAAGTT